AATATTTATTATTTTAAGATAGAGAATATATATTTTTAAAATTTTTACATGTAAAAGATTTTTTTAATTTTAATTTGATAAAAATAATATTATAATCTTAATTAATTAACAAATTAAACTAACAATCTTAATTATTTATCATTAGTTTTGATTAATTTTAATTTAGTCCATTTAAGGATTAGTTAGTAAATTATATTGTGGAATTGTTTAAATATAAAACTTAATTAAAAATTTTATAAAATTTTTGGGGTTAAAGTGTAATTTTTCAAAACTATATATACCACATAATTGGTGCCACATCAGCATCCCATAGGATTTTTGTTAAAATCACTAACGAAAGTTTGTTAGGTAGATGAATTTGAAATGATTTTCAAAGTTTATAGATAATTTTGAAAAAAACTAAACTTTCTAGATTAAAATGAAAAGAGAGTAATAGTTAATAGATGAAAAATTAAATTTAACCAACTTTTATCTCATTACGTTAGGATTGGGTAAAAAGTGAAATATACTTTATCCAATCCATTAGCATCCTCAAACATAGGACATTGGCTAGTCATGAGTAATTTTCATCGGATCCCATGAATAGTCTAGGGGTCCAAACACGCTATTAAATGTTACATTTAGGCTTGGATTGATTGACGAAAGTAGTTAATATTAAGGAATTTGACTTATTTTCTTTAAATGCCAACTCTAGGATTAGATTTATCAATAAATTAGAATTGTCTTGTATACCAACATCATATTTGATGCGAAAGGAATAGGAGAGATAGGAGAGCGTGAGAAGATTTTTTTATTAATTAGTTTGAAATATTTAAAAATGTTATAATTTAATGAATTAAAAAAAAAACTTTCTCCTTTCTTTTTCTTCATTTTCCTCAATTTAAATATATTGTAAAGTTTTGTTTAGAATAGTTATAGTCTTAAATATTTTATTGTGATTTTTAAATATTTAGAAACTCTAATAAAAATTACGAATTTTTATAAATTAATTAAGTTTAGAGTTTTATGTATTTGTTTTAAAATTTTATACTCAATAAATTGACAATTTTAATTTTAATTATTTAAAATTTAAAAACTAAAATTAAAATCTAGAACCTACAACCATATTAAATAAGGTTTAAGTTTAAGATTTAATTCTTAATATTTAAAAAAATTAATTTTTATAAATATACTAAGTCAACACAAAGATACACTTTTAAAATAACTAAAAAAATTTTAACTTTATCAACGACCTAAATAATTCAGTAATCATCTCTTTTCGCTAAAAGTAAGAAATCTTGAATTTGAGTCACATAATATATGGATAAGATGAGAAAAAAAATGAGAGGTGATTATTTGTTATTATGCATAAGATAAAAAAAAATAACCTTAAACTGCACAAAACTTAATTCAAAATTAATTAAATACAAATAAATAAATAACACCACTAATAAGATAAGAGTTAGGGATGACAATTTACCCCGATCCTCGTGGGGCCTCGTGGGGATCCTTGCCACGGGAAAGAGGTGAGGAGGAATATTCCTCCCTGCGGGACTGAGATGGAGAGTATTTTCTCCCTGTGAAAATTCGCAGGGAATTTTCCCCACCCCATGGGGTCCGTGGGGATCCCCATCCCTGTAGAAAATTTAAAAAATATGTAAATTAGTTTTATTTTAAATTTAATTTAACCTTCAAATCTAAATCCAATTCAATAAAATTTTAATTTAATCTAATTGTATCCAATCTATTATTAACTTTTTACTTATTTATGTTATATTGATTTTTATTTATGTTTAGATAATTTATATTTAAAAAATTTTAATTAATTATACTTGAATTTTTAAAATTTTATGTATTATAATTAAATATTAATTAATTATATGTAAAAAATTTATTTTTTTATATTTATTAGTGGGGAGTGAGAATCCGCGAGATCTCCATTCTCTGCCAAAAACAGGAATGAGGGGCAAAATTTACCCCCATTAAAAACCTCTACAGGGATCTCCATCCTCATGAATTGTTAGGACGAGGACGGGGAGGACTCCCGACCCCACGGCCCGTTAACATCCCTGGTAAGAGTACCCCAATATCAAAGACCCCGCTCCATGTCAAATTATTCATACTTTGTGGTCCAAATTAGCTTGGCAAAACCATAAGTTAAGCCCCTGAACTAACCCCAGAATGGCAATTAAGCCCCTAGACTTTAATTGATGCATGTAAGCCCTCAAACTCTGGGATCAAAGCAGTTAAGCCCTTATTCTTATGCCAACTTAACTGCCGTTTGGGACACACCAGCTTGGCTGCTTGGATGGCAAAATATTGCCATGTCATGCTTATATGACAAGAATTTGACATTTGAGTGGGATTTTTGAGTTATTTG